TTGATATTTTTATTACTGTTGGAGGGGAAATATGTGACCCTGGAGCATAAAACCAGTCTTAAGTCGCTGGGGTATATTTGTAGCAATAGCCAAAAAAAACATTGTATGGGTCAAAATTATTGATTTTTCTTTTATGCCAAAAATCATTAGGATATTAAGTAAAGATCATGTTCCATGAAGATATTTTGTAAATTTCCTACTGTAAATATATTAAAACTTAATTTTTCATTAGTAATATGCATTGCCAAGAACTTAATTTGGACAACTTTAAAGGCGATTTTCACAGTATTTAGATTTTTTTTGCACCCTCATATTCCAGATTTTCAAATAGTTGTATCTCGGCCAAATATTGTCCTATCCTAACAAACCATACATCAATGGAAAGCTTATTTATTCTCTTATAATTATGAGATTATGTATAAATCTCAATTTCGAAAAATTGACCCTTATGACTGGTTTTGTGGTCCAGGGATAAGATAGGATATGATAATATGTTTAGATTAAAATGTAAAAATCTTGTAATATATTAACAAAACTGTAATCAATAACATAGATACGCACTTTTGTGTTTTTAGATCAAATAAAAAATCTAATAAACTTGTATTATGTACATTTTATATTATTAATATATATTTTATGTAACTTGCATATATATAAAGTTACAAGTAAAATACTTATCTATAAAAAAAAATAAATTTTGAGCAATTTCTTTGTCTCTTCTCTGATCTAAAGGAAAATGACAACATACTTTGAGGAGGTTCGCTCTCGTGCTGCTCAGAGTATGGAGGATGTGAAGGATCGTCTCGAACCTTACTTCACCTCAGTGCATCAGCGTGCTGAAGAGAAGCTGACAACTCTGGCAGATCTACTAAGAAGCCAGGGTGAAGGAATAAAAGAGAAACTGGAATCACAAATGCAGGACCTCAAAGAAAAAGTTGAGAAGAGCACAGAGAATATGCGTAACACAATTCAGGAAAAGGCAGAGGAGATACAAAATTGGTTTGAGCCCTATGTGTCTCAGGTCCAGAAGCAACTGGAGACAGTCATGGAGGGCTTGTAATATAAATTAGAGGATTAACGTTTTCCCTAAACTTTGCTTACAGAAATTAAGGTATTGGAAATGTAAAAGTAATGAGTGAAATATACCATTAGAACTAGGGTGAATTCAGGTAAAGTGGGCCACTCTTTGTAATACGTGTAAATTAGATACCTAGATGTTTTTTTTTCTTTTCTTTATTTCTTTTGTTAACTTTAAGGTCCAGCTATAATATTTCAATTTGAATACAGTTCATATAAAGTGTTATTTGCAAGCTATATACCAATAAACATTTTGAGATCATGCACTCCAGACAAATTTCTTTTCATGTCAAGTGGGCCATTCCTTATTTATCAAAAATTATTTTGCATCTTAATTAAAAACACATGATATATTAACACATATTATCAGACAAACATATTTAACAAACCAAAACTTATATAACCTATAATTATATAGGTTATGAGTAAAATAAATCATGTTTAAATCCTTGTCTCAATTCATGCGTGAAATTCCAAACAACTGAAAGAACATGTTGTGTTGACCTTAAATTTTATGAAATCTGAATATCAGAATATTCAGAAATCAGAATATTGATAAAAAAAAATAAACTCTACAATATATTAAAAAATGTGACTATAACACAAGCAACAACAAATAGGCAAAAAAAATTAAGAGCATCATTTAAAATAGTAACCATATGTAAACACTTTAAATGAACTTTAATTGTGTTCATATTTTAAGCTTTATATTCTGCATCTACATTTTGCTCCTCTCAGCCTTTCTTCACTCCACAGATTTACCTTCATGCCTCGACTTCCTTTCTATTTTCTCTTTCCTTTCTTCCATCTCTGACTAGAATTTCCTGACTGCAGTCTCATTTCTGTTTTCTAAAAAAGTAAATTACACATGTCAGCTACAAAATAACCAGAGAATGTCAATTTATTTAATTAAGTTGAGTATAATTACTGAAGGTTAAAGTTTAGCCCACTTTACCTGAATCCCACTGGCCCACTTTATCTAACATATTCAGCCAAAGTGGGCCTGCAATATTTAAACAAGAAAACTAAAATATTTAAAAAAGAATAATTTTTTTACATTTTATTTCGTTAACTGTAGTAACAAACAAAGCAGGAACTGTCCCAATAATATTTGTTTCAATTTAGTGAGCAACCTTATAATTCTTACGAGCTGAACAAAGGTGCAGCACTCACTCTTCAAAGTTCAAGCTTTATTAATAAAACAACATGACGTTTCGGCCGTCCAAGGCCTTCATGGACAGCCGAAACGTCATGTTGTTTTATTAATAAAGCTTGAACTTTGAAGAGTGAGTGTTGCACCTTTGTTCAGCTCATATGTTTTTTGATTTTTGGTTGCACCTCCTCTTCTGTTGGTAGAGCACCTCTTTTTACATTGTTACAACCTTATAATTCAGAATTAAAATCTTATGCCGAAGGGTTTTCTACCTTTCACCATAAGGCAGTCCTCCTTTAAGGTGTGGCCACACCCACCAGTGTCATATTGCATCAACCAAAACTATTTTATCACTTAGAGAAATAGTGTCCCTTTAATTAAGAACCATTGTTATGCTCTGAAAGTGTACATCCATTGAGCACAGTACAATCAAACTTAAATGGCCCTCTTTACCTGAATTCACCTTACGTGGATGTAACTACAAATGTAAGCTATATAATATAATGTTCAATAAAACCAGCATGTACCAATGAGAATAAATATCCTGGTAAAATAAACTGTCTGTGTATAACATGTTTAAGGGCCAATGACATAACTTATTTTTGTCTGAATTGCATAAGAAATTACATGATAAACATGTTTTAATTTCTGAATTAATGTCATTTTCATATTTCTGTGGGTTAAAAATGTATAGGTCATGTAAAAGTCTGTACTGTCTGGATAAAAAAAAGGTTTGGAATTTTTTGGGGGAAAAAATGTTAGCATGAGAAGTAGGCACTTTTTTATTATTATTCTTGAAAATCAACTGTGCTTTGTTTTAAAATACTAGTACAAAATAACACTTTATAACGTTTTTCAAACCAGCATAAAACATTTTCAATTTCAAATCTAAATTCTAACCATTTAGAACGTTAGAACTACATTTCTCCTTTTTATTTTACATCATTATTTGTCATTGACCCATATAAGACATTACGATATATTTTGTGGGCGGTTCCAATTCTATAATATAACAATATTTAACTTTTATGTACTCCCCCTACAACACAGTAATAAGATCCCGAGAAGGGTCCCACACCACACACAGACCTCTCGGTCTTCCGGTCTATTACGGATGTTGTTTGGATACACCAGGACCCCACAACAGACCACCACGAGGAGCATAAGCAGATGTATTAAATACGATAAATAATTACACGACACTGATATTCATACAGTAGCAACGCTCTGGGATTAATGGACACTCGTAAAAGCCAAAAATAAATGACCGCGCGCGAGCCAGGAATTAAGCCACACCGACCACATCGGTGAGTGCACGAGCCCAGTTTTCTCCCAGCGGCTTGATAATTTTTCGTAATTTCCAAAACTGGCCTACGCGAACTGCTTTATAGTGTTCATCGAGCAGATGACGACTGGGGCTTTAACAGGGAGTCCATTTAAATAGTGTTTCATGTAAATTTATATAAATGCTGTAAGGTTTAGTTTGCGAATTAGCACACAGCTAAGGTTCAGGCGCGACCAACTAACAAACAAACACAGACAAACAAAACCTTTGAATTAAGTTACAACATGAATACTATTTGTGCACTAACGTTAGTAGTAAACGCTTTTGAGGAATATTTTATTGTCGAGTGCACAAAAAACTCGGAACTGATCCTCCCCCTACCTTGTTTTGCAAGTAATTTAGTGACGTTCATAAACATTTATCATACCCCTGTGCTTTTAAAATCTAGAACTAACAAAATAATCACCTAGGGAGTTGTGTTTGTCAGGACGCATATTTAGTCCGAGTTGTTTGTCTCAGTGTTTGTTAATCGTGTATATATAAATTTAGGTAGGGAAACAGAAAACTATGAGCGTATACAAGTTGGCATTAACAAATATATAATTATAATAATCATAATTGTATTTGCCTAATTAATAATTAATTATCCGTTTGCTGACTGTAAAAAAATACTGGAACTTTTAAAACGGAGTAGAAATTAAAATTAAATGGATGGACACAAAATGTTACAAATCTATGCCATAGAGGTATGTCAGATATGTTTGGGCAGTTTCAGACTTGAGGTTATGGGGATTCAAAGTAAGTAATTTAAAAGAGAGCGTTATATCTTATGCAGCAGTCAAAATGGTAATCTTCAGGTCTTGATCAAGCAGTCTTCTATTTTTGTGACAAATAAAATATTTAGCCAAAACTAGATTTTTTTTATATTAAAAATTCATAGTAATTGTAGTAAACGTTTTTTTATCTATAAAATATGCTCAAATCTCGACTTTAAAATGATTAATAATGTTGAAAAGAAAGGCACAACATATATATATATATATATACGATAATGGAATGAAATGGAATGAATATGCATAAAAATATGCTCCTTTAGAAAACATTTCTGCCATGTTGTCATGTTTAACACTATATATCATGCTTTGCCTGGTTTGTGTTTGACAACAGGCTTCTTTGCTAAAATATTGGCACTTAATGTCTGAATGAAATCAGACATCAATTAGCACAGTGATTTGCTCATAGGGAACTCTGTCTTTAAACTAAATCTAATATCTAAGCTTACAACTAAATCTAAACAATTTTCCCCCCTCACAGGCATTTCATAAGAGCATTTTAACTCAAATAAATCATTTGGGTACCATGGATGGCGAGTTACCACCATGGAATAAACATGGAAGTCATAACAGCAGGATTCCCTATAATACTGCAGGGGAACATCAGGAGGTAGGTTACAGTAATTATATTTCTGTACATTATGATAAAGTAATGACAGAGGAAAATTATGGTGAAAGAGCAGAAGAGTTCTCTCACAGTACCTGGCTCCGAACACAGTCAAAGGTAGGTGACATATCAATTGTAAGGCTGAATACCAACAATATTAGGTTGCATCCAGTTCCTCACTTCTAAACTCAAATATCCCTTCTTTATTTTTAGGGGCATGATGACATGATAGGAGACAGCTTTGCTGCTGGAGAACAAATGACGTCACTGTCATCTTGTATGAGTGGTGCATTTAAGGCTTTGTTACCAGATTACCATGGAACTTCTTCAGCAATGTCAGCAAACTCTGATAAATATTCATATTCTCCTGATAATCATTGTCTCATCAAACCTGGCACTGCAGTGGACAAAAAGTCAGCAGTGGAAAGTGATTTTTTGAAAGACCCTTTGGGTGAAGCATCAGCTAGTGTCACACATATACTTCCTCTCAGGTGTGCCCAATATGTGAGACATGAAAAGGTATGTAACCTCTACACTGCATAACCAAAATAAATGTTATTTCTCCATTGTCATTTAATATCTGTCTTTTCACAGAACCGAGAATTGGACCAGGGAAATGGTAATTGGACATCAGTGATCAAAGATGCTTTAGAGATGAGTAATGGAATGGAAATGGAACAGACTTTATCCATGGATGAATGTGGTCCCCTAATGAACTATAATCTTATATATAAAGGACCTGAAACTGAGGCAAATTTTAGATTAAAGGACCACTTTAATCTTCAGATTGCAGGATCCAAACTAAATGAGAAGCAGGATGGGCAAGGAGTAAAAGAAGAACCGGATTCCTTTATTTCAATGTTGTCAGATGATATCAGTAAAAATAAAGATGTTCTGGAAATGGTAGGTGCTGATATAAAAAAAAATTGTAATGTAGATTTTATAAAACAGAATGTAAATGAAGCCACCAAAGAACAAATTATTTATTGTCATATATTTCAACTGTTCTCAGGGGAAACATGAGGAGGCAAGCATATTAGATGTTGGATCATCTCTGGGAAAAGAGGAACTTGGAATTACTGGAATCAGAGAACATGAGCCAGGGTTATTACCAGGATTTACCAGGAGTTCATACACTCCTTTTTCTTCATCAGAAAGTCTTACAAAAAGTGAACAGTTTCCAGGTATTCAATGTGGGCTGTCGTGCAAAGATGTCAGTCTTAGAAAAACTGCCAGCACAAATACTGGCTTCAAACATGCAAAAGTAAACAATGAAACTGTTCCTGAAAGTTCTACTGTATATGGGCTTCATCATCTTGCTCTTCAAAAGGGCTGTCACCAAGCAGAGATTACAGATGGAAAAACTTCAGTTAATTCTCAGGATCATTCCTCACAGCATAATGTGCAAGATGAGAGGGTAAAGACAAGCAAACTGCATGTCTCTGAGAGTACAGTAATAAAACAAAGTGCTGCATATCTGCCCAACACTCAATACTTTGGAAGTAAACTAAAAAAGCAAGTTCATGATCTTGTACCCACTCCAGCCTCAGTGGGCAGTCAAAACACAGCTGTGGTTAAATGTGAAAACATAGAACTGCGGATCCCAACAGAAGAAAGGATCTCTGAGAGCAGTCTATCTGTGCCAGGAAAAAATGAAACTAATGATTTTCAGGAGACATCTATTGGCACAAAAAATGCTAAACTCAGTCTAAAGGTGGAAACAAAATTTGCCCCTGAAATTCAGAACTCCTCTTCAGGATCAGAGACAGTTCCAAATCTACCTGTTTTACCCCACATAATTCACACGGATTATAAATGTAAAGACTCCCAGATTGAACCATCCGAAAGCGGCAAATTAAATGAGCTTTGTTTTCAAGAGAACAATTCAAAAAACGTGACACTCACACTTCCCTCAACTTCAGCATTTACTGAAAGAACTCGAGATGAATGTGATATCCACGTCCAACAGAAACAAACCCAAACTAGTCTAAGTACGGTTCTTCTGCCTTTTAACGAAAATTTTAAAAACTCTGAAAGAAGTGAAAAGGTATTTCTCAACATTAATTCAGAAAGCAGTATTCCTCCATTTACTGAGAATATTCAGGAAGCTCCACCTTCTCCCACATCAAGGACTGACTGCTCCTCTCAGCATAACCTACAGAAAGCATCGCAAAGGCATAAGAAAGCAAGAAAAAGAGAAAAATCTGAGCTTGAAGCATTAAGTGGACCAATTCACAAATCTAATAAAAGAGATAACTCTTCTGTGTATGGATCAGAAATATTAGAGAGTGTTGACAAACTAGACACAGCAAGATATGAGGAAACAAATCAAAATGTTTCATTGGCTGATAATGACAGCACTGCACCGAAAGAGGAGGACTTAATTACAAATGGTGATGTAAACCCACCTACACCTAGGAAAAAATGTCGAATGGCACAACTTGAGCTAGTGGCAGATACAGCAGAGACCCCACAAAAAACAGATCATAGCTGCTCTGAAGCCTCACAGGAAGAAGTACCATCAAACTCTAGGATCAACAGGAAGGCTATTTCTAGAAAGAAACTGAAGAAAAAAACAAGGTTAAAGGCAAAAAACTCTGCTACCCTTAGTTTGTCTCAAAGCACTGTATTGTCCCCAGAAGAAGACTGTACATCACATTTTCAGGTCAGTGACACCACTCCGATGAAAGGAGTCAGTAATCCAACAGTAACCCAACAATCCAGTCCAGAAAAATTACAAAAATCCAGAAAAAAGGCTACAAAGCAAACACTACAAAGCAAAGATGATCTGTATAAAGATGCTCCCACAACATTTTCAGAACCCAAGGAAGACTTCGTGGACGTCAAAAGGCATCAGAAAATGAGAAGATTTCCTATAAAAGCTTCTAAAGGAAAGCATAAGAATGCAACTCGTTTTCTGAATAGACAGTCTTCACTAGAGCCTCAAACTGATTCTGTTTCAACCTCTGTGACTGAATCTTCAAACATTGTATGCCCTCAGAATAGCCCAAATAAATCAAAGCAGAAGAAAAGAGCATATATCCACAAAGCAGCAAAAACACCCAATGTGTGCCCACAAGAGGATATGGAAAACGTGATGACTTCAAAAACAAAAATTGTGAAAGCAAAAAGACCTCTGAAAAAGGCAGCTAGAAAAGATAACAATGAAACTACTCTTTTGGACACCCAGTCTTCTATAGCCACTGTTAAGCAAATGGATTCTGTTTCAAATGTAGGAAATGAAGTTGAGTCTCCTGTTATTCTCAGCACACCAAGAAAGTCACAGAAAAAGAAATTGTCAGATATGTGTGTTTTGAATCCACTCTCAGAAACTGATGTCAGCATTGTGCAACCAACTACAAAAAGATTCAGAACAAAAAAAACACTTGACAAAAAAGTTTCTCATAACACAGTCGGTGAGAACTGTGAACCTGCTCATTTGGCTCTTTCCTCAGTTGATTCTGTGTATGCTACAGAAACTGACTATTCAGGTATCAGCCAACAGAGCACTGAAAAGACATCAAATAAGAGGAGAAAGACAGACATCAAGTTTATAGAGGCACAAACATCCACTACTAGTCAACAGGACGACGTCACTTTACCGCCCTCAGAAGATTTTTCATCTATTGTGGTTTCAAATCCAAAAGAGACTGTGAAAGTCAAAGGAATTTCTAGAAACAAAACCAATGACAACCTCTTAAATGGTAATTTGGTTGAAGAAACATCTTTATTAGCAACTGTAACAGAAGAAAGTTCTATTTTACCTGGAAAGATTGACTCTTCAAGCAGTTTTAGACTAAGCAGCACACTGAAAAAGCCAAGAAAAAAGACTGTAACCAAAACCAAAAATGAGCTAGCAGAAATACTCAGTGTAAACCAGCATGAAGATCTGGACAAACACACACCAGCTCTCCCCCATACATTTGTTTTTCTTGTGGACAGTGTTATGAGAAGGATTCAGAGATGAATGTTCATTGTGAGGTTTGTTGCCAGTCAAGTGGGGAGGAGAAGATTTGTAGTGCATCACTTACCGAAATCATGCAAGGTGTTACCCAAACCTACCCTCTAAAGTGTACCTCATCTCGGAGTCCAACAAGTACAGGATTTCAGCTGGATTCCCAAACGACAACCAGTTCAGAACAGCTCTCGCAACTGCCTCAATTGGTGGATGTGGAACCTACACAAACAAGAGATACAGATCTTTCAAAACTTCCTAAAACGTATCCTGCCCATTCACCCATTAAACTCCCAAATGCCAAATCACCCACTCGTTCTGATGTTAACTGTACTTCCCCAAGTAGCTCTCTAGAATGCATTGAAATCACTCAGAGTTTTTGGAAATGTAAGTGTTCGCGTTGTGGTCAGCGATTCGAGAGGTACAGGACTTTGAGTGCTCATCTGCAAACACATGCTCCTGGTTTCAGATATACTTGTGCACAATGTGGACAGTTCTTTGAAAGGTGGAGTAAACTATGGCTACATCAGCAGCAGCATCGCCTAAAAAGCCGTTGTTACTCCTGTACGCAGTGCAATCTGCAGTTTAATTTCTTTAATTCCTTTAGAGAGCATATGATTGACCATGCAGGGCAGAGACCGTATGCTTGTCCCCTCTGTCCCAAAACCTTCATTCAGGAGGCAAGCTTACATGCTCACCAATGTGAGTCTCATAAACTTTGTAAAAGTCTGAAATGTGATGTCTGTTCTAAGACTTTCAGTAGTTTAAGAAACCTAATCAAGCACAGTCTTCTGCATAATGGTTCTACCTCTCACGTTTGTCTCCTTTGCAATCTCTCATTCACAAATACAAGAGTCTTAAAGGAACATTTGAAAACACACACCACATACTATGGACCGGCCCTCCCCGATATTCCATCAAAGCCACTTGATTTTCCTCACAAATGCAAAAGGTGTAAAGCTAGCTTTTCAACTGGAGAGTTGCTCTACGCTCATCAGATACGTCATTCTAGAGATGCAAAGACTCACATCCGTCCAGCAGTAGTACCTACCTCAAAATTGTTCGATTCTTGTCATAATGACACACCATCTACCCCACCTTTCACTCGCAGGAATCATATATCAAACCTCAAACTTGATGGCATACCCAATAATAACAGCCTGTATGTTTATTCCCACCCTGACAGACTCTATGTGCCCCCTAGTGGCAGAGTACAGCTTCCGGTCATTAATTTGGACCCTGATGAACCAGAGGATGTTTCAGACTCTCAGAATCCTGGTCATGAACTTCCAAACAGTGAAATCACTTCTCAATCTGACAGCACACACCTACCTCAGGCCACTTTAGATCATGAAACCACCAACCTAAATTCAAGTGAAAGCATAGAGATGATGGCAAATAGTCAACATAATTACAGCCGCAAGTATCAGAGAAGCCCTTCATTTGTGGAGACAAGTGTTGACATGGAAATAGAAACACCTGCTCAAGAAGAAGATTCGTCTGAGAGTTTTGAATGTGCAGACTGTACTGAAAAACTAACCAGCGTGTTGGGCCTTTATGAACATTACATTCTTCATGCAATAGGAGATGCATATGTACAGGTAAACTGATAATTGATAATGCTAGAAGGTAGACATTTTCCCAGATATATTATGCTTTAAAATGAATGTTTTGAAACAAATATGTGTTGATGACATCTGTTTTACAGTTTCAATGTTTAAAGCAAATATTGGCAGAATGTTTAACTTTTATTTTTTACATCTTGAACAAAAGTGGGAAAAATTAGCATTACTATGACTCTTCCTTCTAGCATGCTTTTTTCAACCCTCAGGTTCATTAATTTTAAAAGTTGTTGCCCGATAGCCACTCCTAGATACTGTATTACTGGGGTCATTTCACTACGCCTTATCTCCGTTATCTCTGTACTGCCATTCATCATCTCCTTTTGTGCCTTCAGCGATAGTTTTGGTTCTGTAAGAGATCTGTAAATAGATATACATAATCCTGTATAACTCCACAACCTCCTAATCCTTCCTTTGTAAAAATCTCATGGTTACGTTTTCAATACCTTTTTAATTCAATTTTGTAATATTGAGAGGTGGTTAAATATAGATTAACCTTGAACATTCATATATGAATGTCTGGATGGGACAAAAATATATTGTATATTGTAAAAATGAGTAGATCTTGAGAACATTAGAATATTTTTGGAAAATAATGGCTTTGAAAAGATCCAAAAGATTCTGTGCTTTTAAGTGGATTCAGTTTTTTTTTTTTAATAAAACATACTACTTGTCATGTGTAATATTTTCATTATATTGTCAAAGATCCTACAGACAAGCCGAGGTAAAATATGTGTAAGGCTTCTGATCAGATGTCATGTTTTAATAGCAATAGAAAAAAAGCAGAAACCGTTCAGATTACATATTTTGCATGGGTTTATCAAATATTTAATCAGTTATGCACAGAGCAGAAGGGGGAAAAGATCATTAGCAAGCTATGTGTGAATTTTTGAGGTACCACACAACACTGCAGTAATTTGGTAGTGAATGTCTCAGCAACTCCATATGCATCTAAAACGGCTTTTATAAGGACTTTTGATGGCTACTTTTTGAAGGAACTCATTTCACATGTCAAATGGCATGTACATCAATCAGTAACAGAACACTTGAATTTAATTCTTCTTCTCATCTTTTTTCCCCTCTTGTTTGTTACCACTCTGAGAGGTTAGGGAGCCCATGGCATTGCGGATGGCCTCATTGTTGGGATCAACACCAGGTAGATTCTCCAGGACACTTTGGAGGAATTCTGGGTCCTGCATTACATCATAATCATCCTCTTCCTGTAGAATCAGTTAAAAAGTGCAAGAGAAATGACAAGTCACCAGGGAGTATAAGGGAACAGTGTTCTGTCACAAGGAAAAGACATGGGAATACATTTCTGTCAGGACCACTATCGTCAAAGATGATTGACAATTAGCATACAGTTTGGATTGGCGGTATGGTTCCGTTCTGGGCAAGAACTCCTGCGCATCCATGCAGCCTAGCATGGATGAGAGCAGGGAGAGCAGCAATAACCCCCCAGGGTAAACAGAACAGAACCAACATAAATGTACTGCAGATATTGTTAAAGTTCAATAATTCTATGTAAACATTTTAGAATTAGTCTGATTCAAAGGAGAATCGGAAGGCTGAATCCCGACTGACATAGGAGGAGTTGGGGATGGAGGAGGGTAATTAGCTATTGAGCAATGCGAAAACTGATGATAATACTGAGGAACCTTATATATGAATGCTTATGGTGCTTTT